CTTCCACTCTAACGCTATTCTATATCTCTCTTATTCTCTCTTCTTTTCACTATCTATCACTTTCTTCCCCCTCTTTCACCATCTACATCTCTCACTCAGGAAAATTTCCACTTACTTTAATTCTATCTATTAAATTTAGATGAAAAATAGAATCTCACTTTAATCCGCTAATCCAAAAAATCGCCGATAAATATATTCTCTCTTTTCTCCCATATTTTTGGCGATCCTCCACAGCTCTTTTAGACCCCAATTCAAAGGGCGTAACCTTGGCTTGAATCTAACCCTATTGCATTCTTATGCAATGGTTAATTCAAATCGTTTGAATCTGAGAAATAATCCGCGGTTGGGTTTTAATTTGTGCCTGTTTTCTTTTTTTACTGGGTTTGAGTTTTATTATCACTGTTTCTATCCATTATTTGTATTTATGTTATTATTCATTTATTTTGTATTTATGTTGATTATCATTATTTTGTATTCATCTTATATCATTATTATTATATATTGTTATTATATATGTATTATTATATTATTATGTTGTTGTTGTTATATATATTATTATTATCTATTATCGTTATTTATTATTATTATTTTATAATAATAATAATAATAATAATATTATTATTATTATGTATTATATTATTATTATTTTGTTATTGTTATTTATTATCATTTATTGTTGTTATTATTATTATATATTATTATTATTATTATATTATATATATTTATATTCATTATATTATTATTATTAATTATTATTGTTATTATCATCATATATTATCATTAATATTTCATATTTAGCGTTAAATCCGAGGGGTCACGCGGTGGCTCAAATACGGCCTAATTTATCACCTATCTATCATCCTAATCTTATCTATCTATCTATCTATCATCTATCTATCTATCGCTATCTGTCTCCTCCACTCCCTCCCTCTCTCCCAAAGTCAAATTTAGGGTCAAATCCTACATCAATGCACAGGTCATATTTGGAGTCAATTTTCGGTTCGAATTTAGGGATCAAATTTTAAGGTCAGGTCAAATTTAAGGTCAAAGATAAGGTCAAAGTCAAGAGCTCAAACCCAGGGTCAAACTTATTAATTGAATAAATAATTATAAAATAGATATGATAAAGATAAATACCATTTATTATAAATGTTCAAAGATTTTCTTTCTTTTTTACACTTTTACACTTTCTTTTCTTATTTCTCCTGACTGCGAATAGAGAAGAGAGAGAAGAGAAGGAGGAGAAGAGAGAGCGAGAAGAGAGAGGAGAAGAGGAGAGAGAACGGAGAGAGAGAGAGAGAGAAAGAGAGAGAGAGAAGAGAGAGGATGAGAGAGCAGAGAGAGAGGAGAGAGAGAGAGAGAGAGAAAGAATAAAGACGAGGAGGAGAAGACAGAAGAGAGAAGAGAGAGAGAGCGAGAGAGAGAGAGAGAGAGAAAGAGAGAGAGAAAAGAGAAAGAGAAAGAGAAAAGAATACGAGAGAAGAGAGATAAAAGTACAAGATAACATACACACATACAGATCTCCTCTCTCTCTCTCTTTCTCCTTCCTTCTCTCTCTTCTCTCTCTCTCTCTCTCCTCTCCTCTTCTCCTCTCTCTCTCTCTCTCTCTCTCTCTCTCATCTCTTCTCTCTCTCTCTCTCTCTCTCTCTTCTCTCTCTCTCTCTCTCTCTCTCCTCTCTCCTCTCTCTCTCCTTCTCTCTCTCTCTCTATCTCTCTCTTCTCTCTTCTCTCTCCTTCTCTCTCTCTCTCCTCTCTCTCTCTCTCTCTTCTCTTCTCTCTCTCTCTCTCTCTCTCTCTCTCTCTCTTCTCTCTCTCTCTCTCTCCTTCTCTCTCTCTCTCTCTCTCCTCTCTCTTCTCTCATCTCTCTCCTCCTCTCTCGCGCGGCAATGAGAGAGATTAACGAAGGCACACTTAATAGCTCTCGCCCGCATTGCGACAGTGTGACTAGCTGCTACTAGCCTTCCCCCTCTCCCTCTCTCCCTTCCCTCTCTCCCTATTTTGTCTGTAGTATCTCGTCCCTTCTTCCCTCTCCCTCTCTCTCTATTTACTCTCTAGTATCTCGTCAATCCTTCCCTGTCCTATCTCCCATTCTCTCTCTCTCTCTCTCTCTCCCTCTCTTTCTTTCTCCTCTTTCTCTTTCTCTCTCTCTCTCTCTCTCTCTCTCTCTCTCTCTCTCTCTCTCTTCTCTCTCTCTCTCTCTCTCTCTCTCTCTCTCTCTCTCTCTCTCTCTTCTCTCTCTCTCCCCTAATTTTCTCTACTATCTCGTTCCTCCTTCCCTTTTCTCTCTCCCTTCTCTTTCTTTTGCTCCCTTCCATCCCCTCTTCCTTTCATTCTCTTTCTCTCCTCTCCCCTCCCCCTTTCCCCTCTCCCTCCTATTTCTCTAACCCTTTCCCCCTTTCCTTTCTCATTTCCCCTTCCTCCTTCTTTCTCCCTCCCTTCTTCCTTCTCCTCCTCATCCCACTTCTCCCTTCCTCCTTCCTTCTCCTCCCTCCCTTTCTCC